TAGAGTACCTAGGTATATTGAAATAAACCTGTTAGCATTTCAGCTCAATAATATAATAATGCAGAAATGGGTGTCTGCTCAGTTGTCAATATGTTAAGGGTTCACGCGCAATGAAAGTCCAGAGTTCGACTTTCAGGAGCGTGGTAGTGAATGCACACTATTGAGAAGTCTCATACTCGAAAAAAAATGCCGTCTAGTTTTTCCAGGTTTTCACTGGTGGTCTAACTAAGATTAATTTGTGATATCTACTCTCTGAAATTACACGATTTAATGGAAATCTCTTGGAACATTTTGAGGAAAAATGATTTTCGGTAGAAGTTGCGACAGTTTTGCCGAATACTATGCTACACATATAGGTATAATATACATAAATAGTCTTTTTTTGAGTAAAACGAGTTAAGATAAATGCTTACGTAAAATGGCTTCTTACTGTTTCATTAAGTAAGCATGATCGGTTTATTTTGATGTGTTCTAACATTCATCATATATTTACCCTTATTAGTATGGTTCGCCTACACTAACCAATCAAGATATTTCATAGATCTCTTTAGTTTCTTCCTTACAATCACAAAAAGGAAAAAAAATGACTTATTTAATAAGAATGAACAAATTCATTGTACCACAATTCATTATTAATCAACTTTTATATTTTGCTGAGTGAACTGGGACTATTACCTTATCAGTGATCACCGAGCCTAAAGGCCAACTGATTACGAATGGTCTGTGATTGAACAAAATATATCAATCCCAAAAATAATGACAAAGTTATTACGAAAGAAAATTAATGTGTTAATATACTAAATAGCAATTATACACACAAGAAAAACATATTGGACTTTACTTAAATTGTTAGAAATGGGCATGTTCGAGTTTCTTTTGGTCTTGTAATTTATAATTATAAGTAGTTAGTAATCTCAACTATAGTTGCTATAATCCAAGCTATGTATCCAGATAAAGCATGTAATGAAGATATCACTGTGATCTGTAAACATGAACAGCAGATATATTGAACTTCTGTTATCATAACAGCGAATAATTGAGAACAAGAAGCATATGTGTGCAGCAGTGTATTTATGAGTGATAGTCAATGTTTCAGGCTATGGAGAGTTCAAAAACGGAACGGTAGGTCAAAAGTCATGCTTTTTGAACAACAATTTTACAGTCAATAATGGTAATTGTATAAATTATGAAAATTGAAGAAATGCAAATAGTCGCAAAAACTAATTACAAAATAATTCTATTTTAATTATCTTTACAAGTCACATACGGGCCTTTTTGAATAGTTCTGAGTGTAATATTTTTTTAACTCTTATAGCCATAAATACAATGATGAAACTTCTTGGAGTAATTTGTACTACTTAATGCATTGGTTGTTTAATGAAAAAAACACTTTACTGATTTCACACTCTAGGGATTAAACGTTATACTGTTTAGTCTTCTGACTAGGTCCTACTCCCTATAGTTTAATTAGTGAGATTTCATGCCAAATAATCTCTACTTCAATTCAGGTCAAGCATTAAACCTTATCTATGTAATGATTATTTCCAGATCATCAACTACACTGTCAATAATCTATCCAATTTACCAATTTTTATATTCATGCAAATTCAAACAGTGATATAAATCAACTCTGAAAACCAATTTCTTGTTAGAAACAATATTGATTGGGTAATCGCTTCTTAAATTTATTTGGTTTTCATATATATATATATAATGAAATTTATAGATCTGAAGAATGTTACCACATATAATGTGATTTTTGCCAACATCCGGAAGTGCAATATTGTTATGAAGATTCACATGCTTATAACCATTTCCTCTGAGAAATGTTCTTTATTTGCTACTCACATTGCAAAAACAGCTTGTTTTCACATAGTTTGTCCAATAAATATGCATGTAAAGCTTCTGTTTCCTATTATAAATATCTTCTTAAAAGATAAACAATCTTGTTTTGATTGTAGAGGTTCGCAGGGTTTTAGGTGGTTCACCAAATTTATGCGATAGCGATGGATGACGTGCTTTGGCTTCACGTTTATCATTCACTGTTTTTGGCTTGCTATTCAACCATCCCCTTATTCATTAAAATTATCTCCCTACTATTTCATTTTGTTTCCGAAATCCTATATGACTATGTAGAGGCAATACTGAAAAAATATGGAGAATATAAGGTGTGAAGTGACAAGCTGGCTGATGATATGCGATAGATGAAATAGCACAAACAGGTCCATGCTGTTTGACGAATCGTTCTTAGTCGATTTCACGCTTTGGTATTTCTTTTTTATTTCTCTATACTGCTGTCAAATCTGTTGATCTGAACCGATTTTATCTATGCCATGAGGCTAAAAGTACTGCGTTAATGAGTTGTAAAGGCTACTAATTACCTCAGACAGCTATGAGTATTAAATAGAATAATACTTAAAACAATGGTCAAACATTTGATTTTAATGAACAGACACGTCCAAGGAAACTAGTGTTTGAATGAACCAACACAACATAATAGCATATTTTGAGAGGTATTTCAGATGGCTTGCGGTTGTAAATGAACCATTAAATACTGAATAGAAAAATTAGCATATATGAACTTAATTATTGGTTATCTACCAAGACAGTATTTTGTTGAGATAATGTAGGACTATGTGTACCAAATAACACTTTTAAGAAAAACAATATTTGCAGAATACGATGGATTTATTGTATTTGATCATTTTTTCGTCAGTCGGTTGTAAAATTATTAAATTAGGTTCATTCGATAAATTGACGTGGGATATTCGCGGGAATACGTTCTCCTCATAGATCAAGAAATTTTGTGATCCGACAAAATTGCCGTAAAAATTAAGGTTTTGAAGGGTATGGTAGTCGGTATTCAATATAATCCTTAAACTTCGTATACTGTTCGTCCTGATAACCGTCGCTAGATAACGCCCCAATGGTGTATTAATCAGAAAGCGAATAAGAAGTGTTGATTAAATTTATTATTGCACCACGCACAGATCCATCAAAATTATAAGTACGCTAAGCAAGCATAAAAGAGTAGTGCCGAAAATCAAGCAGGTAAGCGAGTGAGTGTGAACAGGATTAAGATGTACATATTATATTTAAATAGTGAAATGAATGAATCATCGAATCAACTGAGCGACTAACAGTTCGGCTGGCAGAATGAATGAATATATGCGTAGGCAGAAATCAATGCTCAAGCATACATATTTATACAAGTGTAACAATAATAAAGGTACAATGTTATAGATAAGCTGTTATTGCATGAACGACTCTGTCCGTTAAATAAGTTAACAAAACGGGCTTAACCATGTTGAATGTGAACAAACTCAGTTGCACGTGAGCTGCCATAAAGATGTTTCCGTAATTCACTGAAGTGATAGTCACAAAATATTGTAACATAATATGATGGTAAATTTATTCACAACATGGTTGTGAAGAGAGAAGTAAAGGAACAACGAAAAACAACGGGTATTTTTTAGGACATCTCAATTGATTCGAACTATGTAATGTACTAACATTTAGTGTTGTGCCTGTTTTATTCCATGAATCATAAGCTTTGTCTAGCGTATAAGTTAGTGCCATGTTTTTTATTCTATCCAAAAACTTCAGTAATATAAACGTGACCTCTGTTTACTTTCTCTCCAATCTCCTAGTTTGTACATGATTGTATTTTTCATATTTCTTGTGAGTTGTGGCCTTACTGGTCATATACTTATGCACATGCCTTTTGAGTTAATTTAAATCAGGAACAAATCGTATAACAGTCCCAGCTAGATCATCTCTCTTTGCTTGAAAACTAATCAGTTCAACGGCAAAGAAGTTTTCTACTTCTTGACTTTAAAGCCACTCAGTCCCAAATCAAACTCACATGTTGGGGATCTCAGGGTTGTACTAACGCAAACTATGTCAGGGCTGTAATGTAGATAAAGAAAAACCTTGCTCTCCCTGTATATTTAACACAGACTAGCGGACAAGTAAATCTAGAAGGTAACAAATATAAGAAAGCAAAATAGAAAACCGAGTTGAAATCATTGAACAGAAGTCATAATTCTATATAAAAAGAGAATTCACTTCCTAATAAGGTTCTTTTTAAATTGTCTAGACAAATATTGGTTGGTTCCAGACTCTTGCTGAGCACAGAGATCACAGAATTTCAATAAAGTTGTACAGCTTGTTGACTGCATCGAATACTAATATTGTATCTACCATGTGTTCCATGTCCAACAGGTGGAGCGAGCTTGAACTATAAAGACTAGCATATCCTCTGACAGGTTTTTTGGAATATGCTCATAAAAACTCGTAGATGTCAGCCTTCCTGTACATTCAATGCATTTGTTTTCCACGTATATGTTAATGAATAAATATAATAGGTGATATCAGGCAGGCACTTGTCTACGTTGGTTTGTTTTACTGCGTTTCTTGTTATGCAAACTGTTACTAATTTTGATGCAGAATATTTTCTGTTCGGAGATGCTTTAATTCTTTAGTCAATCTTATTCGTAATTGAATCACTATTGCAAATCAGTTGGATGAACATACGTTCCTTATCAGCTAATTTCCTTGAATGGTGGGCACTACCATTTCTGTCTATCAATGAACTATAGTAATCACCATGTTTGAGACAGGTCCATTTCTACACATTCTTCTTAGAGTTTGTCTATCGAACACAGTTTTGGCCCTAACGGAAAGCGACTTCACTAACATATTCCTAAAATCATTTTACGCTAACATTTTGAATAAATTCAACAAATCGGTGAAATGCAATGAGTTCATTGTATCCTGTATTGTTATTTTCGTTTATTTACATTTGTATGTGAACCAACTGCATGAAATAACACATTTCTTTCAGATGACAACTTATAGTGTTCAAACATCACACAGTTATTAACGACAATGTAATTTTTCGGGTAAAACTTTTGCAAATCTGTAAAGCTCATTTCATAACACCTTTGACTTAGTTACAACATCGAAAAGAACTCTTCAAAACCAGAACCATACTAACATACCACCAACTCGCATCTATTTCAACAATTCACAGGTAGCACAATTAGATAAATGGAAAACAATTAATATACGAATCACAGTTTCAACAAAATAATAATAATAATCAAAATGGATAGGAATAAGAGTGAGATGCTCAAAATATAGGTGTATTATTAACAGGGTCAACAATAGTGTAAAAATACAAAGTTTAAAGACAAGGACAAATCAAAATCTGTCATTCAAGAGTTCATTGACTCTTTTTTTTCTTCTACTGTAAAACAATTGTTTTAGGGGGGGGGGAGAGAAAGAGAGAAAAAAATCGACAACAAAATTTGTACAAAGAATAATTCACTTTTCCATTAAATATAAATGGGAAGTAATAATAAATTTGAATAATTCATTGAGAAGTAAATAATTCATTTTAACAGTAATGAGAAAAAAAATTAACGTGTAATCTAATGGAAAATAAGTATACATTGCCACATTAATCAAGAAACATCTAAATGATCATGATATTAATGAGTAGTACAATGTGGTAGCTTATACAGTAAAAGATAACAACAAGCAGTAAACAATAATAGGACAATCGACAATGGGAATAAGTCAAGATAAGGTGACAAACTTGGTAAAAATAAAAAAAAGAAGAGAAATATTACAGGGTTGAATAGACGGGATAATTTATACCTTATTTCATTGTCTGTTATCCTTGGCTGAGAACAACTTTTTTTCGATATACACAGAGGCATTTAATGGATGGTGGGAAATAAACGTCAAATAAACTTTATGAAAATAAAGATGGTTGGAAAAACCTAGGCATAATGTTGAAGAGTGTGTATGATGTGTGTGTGTGTGTGTGTTTGTGTATGTTGGTTAGATTCGCGAGTTTTCTTTACTCTAACAATATTCGAAAAGAGTAAATAACAGAATTTCCGTGTTTTACTTAACAAAATGGGCACTCAAAAAATAATAATAATAAAACGCTAAAAACACACTAACAACTGAAATAATCGTTTTTGAGAATTCATTGTACATAAAACTTTGAATGACAAAAATAAACCGAAGATGATAATGAACTAGTCAAAATACACGATTAAAATCATTTAGCCAATTATTCAACAAAATTAAAATAACAACTATGACGACAACAACATTTGAATCTGAAATATTGCAGTGTAGACAAATCTTTCTTGATGCGTGTGTGTGTGTGTAGAGGGGGGTTGTGTTGATCCATTTACATTATCGATTCATTCACTCATCATGACATGCTGACTTCATGGAATTCGGTGATTGATTACCACCAGTAACGTTTGTGCCTAAAAGAAAATAACGATATCAAAAAATACACAACAGATAATTGAAGCTCAGTAATGTACAATACAAAATTATAACACATAAAAATTCTCTTTCCATTAGTTTTAAAATTTAGATTTAAGTCAAGTGTTAAACACAAATGATGCTTTCTCTAGTACGTTTATTATAACCAATAAATGCATAGATAGATATATAACTGAATAACAATGATCATATATTTAATGATAGTCATGTAATGAAAAACTAACTGTTCAAATCTTGGAAATACATATAAGAGTTTGCATTCAGTTGGTTAGTCAGCTACAACGTAGGACCAGGCACATATATGTATCGGTCCAAGTTGCCACACCTCATAAGCACAAGAAGATGAACACCAAATTCATAGAAGTGGTCACTTCAATGGTGGTAATATATAAAAGAAAGATTGTATATAAGGATATATTACAGGAAGAAAGAATTAGTTCGTAGAAAGAAAGATATGAAATAATTTTAGTCTCATAGTTTAAGGGGAGACAAAGGGTGTATAACACCTATGCCATTGTGATCGATTCTGAGCCATGTCAAACACCGTCTACAACCATTGGTTACGATAGTCACACAGACTCCAACCAAGTAGTCTGCATCTACCAACATGGCTAAGACTAGAAGTTAGTGACTTCAAGCACTGATGCCACATTTTGGTTTGGCCGCCCTTAACTTTCTTTCAACCGTCTCCAACACTAGTCAGCATTGAGCGTCGTGTTAATCGGTGTTCAGGCATACGTAAAACGCGACTTGACTTTATAAATGAAATTGGAATTTTAAAAAGTATTAAAATTTAAATATTACGTCAAACTCTGCTCTGTAACAACTGGATGATACAACTTTATTGTTTTCTTATCGCATACCCCAAAAGTACAATAATAGCTACAAAAAGTATATATTTAGAGAAGACTGAAAACGAACAAACTAACACAAGACATCAGTTCAGGAAGACAATGATTGTCGGTACCACTAATTTCTCGTTACGGTTTGAGAGAAAAGAATGTAATTTATGGTTGTGGATCTCAAGTAATACAGCTCAAACTCGATAACGGTAGAGAAGATGCATTCAATCGTTACCTCTCGTTTAATACTATATTGATACGAAATATGGAAATTTCGATCTATATAAATTCATAGCATGCTCTATGCTGTGTGTGTACCAACGTAGTCATTCATAAGCATAGTCAATCATTTGAGTTGATGAATATTTATCATCTGGAAATTTCTGTCAAATATTGGAAATTATTTAACAAAAATATGATCAGATTTTATAAATAATTAATAACATAAAATAGTGCGATAACCTTGTACACATATGCACACATACAATTGGAAACTCACTTTCATCTTTTATACCACCAGCAACAACTGATGCGAATGTATTGACTTTACCAGTTGTAACAACGCCTGGATTACTGCCACTGGATAAATTGACAGTTGTAGCAACAGACGCTGGTAATGCATAAACACCTGGTTGTTGAGGCCCGCCAGTTCGAATACAATTGACATTTTTAGATGTATTACCATCTCCGGTAGAAATATTAACATTACTATTAGTAACATTAGATGTTGGGAGAGAGTTTGAATCGTACGGTGAATTAGGATTCATTGCTACAGATGATATACTAGTTGGTTGATTATTTGTTGAAAGTGGAGATAGTAATCTAGAATAATGGAAGGATATAAATAACAAAAATTAACTGGTGACTAATCCTTTCCTATCCAAACTGACAAAGTAACCGACAGAATCCTATTAGAACTGATAACTAAGCAAGCATAACACTGGTTACTACTCAGTAATCAATCAATGTAAATATGTCAAAACCACAGGAGGTTAGACAGCCTGAATAGATGAGTGGTAACGTTTCAAACTATGAAGCTAGGTGACGTAGGTTAAAATCCCACAGAGAACTTCAGTTCCCCTGACGGTCGGATTTACACAGTATTAATGAATGTCAACTAGTACGAGACCTAGATCCATGGTATCCTGACGACCATCTTCAACCGCTCAACAACATAATAACTTGGTGTATTTACACACCAATTAGATGTTTATGTACTTCGCTTAGAACCGCGCTGTTTGTCTGAAGGCTGTTGAAACTATTCAGCTGTTCAAGCAAATGTAAATAGGTGACATGCAATTCGAGCCTATGGCTAAAGATTAAGTGTTGCAATCAAAAGGTTACTTCTTCGATAACATAATAGACCGGGAAGTAGCAAGCGGATATTTCTCAAAATTGAAAAAGACTGAATTAATCTGACATAAAATCAAGTTAAACTGATTCTCATTACTGAACAATTTTATACTCTATCCATATGTGCAAAGAGTAGACAGTGTTTCGTATGAATTCACAGAATTTCATTTCAATAGATCTTTTTTTATTCCATTTCATATGGAGTTGGATGGAACAAATACCAGTTGATTAATTAATCGGTTAGTCTAGTACAGATCAGTATCAGCCAGTCATTAGTAGATCGTTTATTTCAAAATTAATAGATTTATCGAGCTGAATTTCAACCCACTGTTAAACTTATCAAAATTCGCCAGCACTCTTGACAATATCAACCTTCTCAATGTAGATTTATTCTAAATACATAAAGCAACAACCTAATCTGAACACATTGATACAACCAGGCACAACAAATGTTTAAATCTATGAGTAAGAACTTTAAAAAATACTCCAGAAGATTTAGTCATCATTTAACAAAACGCATAGCAAAACCGTACATATTTAAAAATAAATATATTTTAGAAGAAAGAACCAACTATCCTAATGGATTATCGCTTTCAGTTTCCTCTTTTTTGGATGCAAAAGAATTCAACCTGTTTTAATGATTAAACAGAAAGTAAGTCAACAACTAAACGCTATCATTTTTAATCCATCTCTTTTCAGACTACTTTCATAAAGCTATAGAAATCTTGTTGATGAATGTGTCTATTCCATTGTAGTCATATAGTTGATTAATTAATGAACTTCAGTGTTACCTCATTTGTGACAGATAAAGTTTGTGTGTGACTGCATCTACTTGAAACAGAGTAACAAACAACTTAAGGTAACTTTAAAATGGCTAACAGCAATTTGGACGAACAGCTATAGTTTAATGATAAGAAACCACTTTAGTTCTAACTATTTAGTGGTAGTTTCAGAATTCGATTAACCTATTTTTTCTTTTTGAACGGCTGGTTAGTATTATTACTCTTAACACAAAAAATGAATAGTTTAAAGGTGCATCTATCTGTGAATCTGTATGTTAAGTTATATACTTGATGTAATTTTAAATAAAGTTAGTGAAGAAAGAAATGTCTCAAGTATCAGCATCATCATCGTCGATATGATTAGAAATTTACCTTTGAGTTCTTATTAAAACACCTTCACCACCATTGACTGGATCAATAGAGAAAATATGCACAAGACCGTCTAGGCCAGCGACAATTAATCGTGGTTGATTCTGATAGCTACAAATGTGTTTTTAATGAAACAACACAATTAATAACAATGAAATATGAGAAACATGCAGTTAAAAAAAGAGTACGTATACAGAAACCATTATGATCAAGTGCAAAGAGTCATTATTAAGTAATTTTAGATAGACACATATGTATGAAGATTATTGATGTGTAATTGATCAACTCATATTCATTGTATGCTTCAAATAATATTTATTTAATAATAAATCACAAGCGAACTGATCAAATGTTTAATACTCTACAGAGAAAATAGTTTAGTATATATATTCGCGCGCATATAGCTTGCACTTACAAGCCCTATCCTCTAGCTCACACTTGTTGTGAAGCTTTCGTATCAATATAGGATGGACGATCAATCGAAATCTAGAAAACAACTTCAATAGATTCAATAATTATGCAAAATTCGTTTACCCATTTTAATATTAATGTTTGTTTCCCATACAGTATTAAAGGTGTTTTCTGATAGGCTGAAACTTGCCTCAGTTGTTTTTAGTTCGTCCTTATACCATACTCTTCTTGTGGCACACTGATCTGACTCCAGTTTGATCGAATGATAGTGCTAAAGAAATATAGATGGCGTCAACCGTCGTATATATTTATCAGCTTAATTCGCGTCAGAGAAGAACGGAATAATTCGAATATGAGAATGAATTTCGGATACGCATGTTTCATACATTCGTTAATCCAGACAGACAACCAGAGAAACGAGTGGAAAAAGCAGGCCGGAGAAGGAAAGTGTGCCAACTCACTTTTGATCAAGCGTGACTCAATATTTATAGCCAAACAAAAAATAAGCTAAAGACATGTGATGAGTAGGGTAAGCAATACATACACAAAATTCAAGGTTATGAGCTAATAATTGACAAGGTCAATATATGGCTCGAGATGAATAAATAAGTTGGTCTGTCCGAAAGCTAGAATAACCCATGTGGACTTGACATAGCAACAAACACTACATAATTATCTAACTTGCCATATTCGTGTTCTTAATATTGGTGAGTGATTTCTGTGGCCAACATCAGCATGTGATGAGAAAGCATCTTCAAATTATCCATATTAATATTATACATGGTAAACACCAAATAACCACGTAAATTATATGCGCCAACCCCAACTGGATGTAGCTAAGTTCGACAGTCGGGTTCAAAGTAGGGAAAAACAAACATGGTCGTAAATATTAAACCGAAACTATGTTTCTTCAAGTTACTCCTGTTGGTTACTAATGTTCAATCATAGATTATTTTGAACCAGTATTCAAGCACGACGGGACCACTGTGTGAGTAACAGTCAGATTAGATGTAGGGTAATACCTAGATTGGTTGCTTACAATCTGAATCTTAATCGCCTGAGATGATAGAAAATGTGTTATGCATACCCACCATTCACCGCCTACCTCGATACAGACTCCTGGTTGGCATAGAAGCAGGTTAAAACGCTAAGGATAGCTAAACTAAGACGTAACATTAGTTCATTAGGTCGAGGTCAGTCAATCTGAGCCATGTCAGGAGTTGCAGATCTTCTTATTGAAGAGTAGATATATTCATTTCTTATTATACAGGACCCAGTATTTATCACATTTATCACTCTAAGTAAAAGATAAACATAATGAATAGAAATGAAGATTTAGAAAAGCCCAAAATATTGATCTGTTATCTCATACTTAACATTTCATATTAACATATTTCAACCGTTTATCGGATGACTGGAAAACAAAGGAAAATCTATCAAACAGTCAATAACCAAAGGTAACAATTTATGGAATAAGTCAAAATATATTTATAACTTACTAAACAAGAGCAGCCACTTTCCTTTGCCCAGGTGACAACTGTATTAAACTACCTTGAGGAATTGAAGTTGTCGAACCAGCATAATTAAGATTAACCAACTCTCCGGTTGGAGTCATGGTTACAGGACTACCACTGCCTGGTGGACGAAATGGGCTATTAACTGATGCACATGGTATTCGAGCATATGCAAACGCACGATCCTGAGCAAATATTTCGGAAACTTGATGTGGTAGATAAGCAGAATATGTTTTTAGAGTACTTCCCATCCATCCCATTAAACCTTGACTCCAACTGGCCATAGTAGCTGCCGCTGCACCAGTTGTAGTATTAGTATTATCTAAACCAGCAGTATTTATATCTATACATCCCGGGTAATTTGTGCCAATATCATCAGATGAAGGCGGATCACAATCATCTATAATACATCCAGCAACTTGACTAGCTCCAGAACTAGAAGACGTAGTACGTTGTCTAGTATAGTGATCAGTTTGAACTTCAGGTGTCTTTTCAGAACTACAAAACCAAAGGAAGACGTAGTTGCGTCAGTCTATAAAAATTCTTCAGGGGTTCATTGCGGTCAGTTACTCAATTTGAAAAAAGTGCAAAACGACATAAATAAGTAAGAAGTCAGGATGCGACTTCTTCTCATTAAGATTGGAACAAGATCAGGAATGACAGATTTACATTACCTCACAACCATACAGTGAAAGAATAAGTTCAATGAAGGTCTGAGAAACGACACGTAATAATGAAATGTAAATTATGGAATGTAACTGAGCGTTGGCAATGATTACCAGAAATAAAACAATATCCCTGATGACAGATACTAGTTACCAACAGCAAAATCACTAAAACAGCGTAGACGAATAATAAATAATTATCCTGAGGCTTTTTCTACCCTATTTCAACTGTAAGCAGCATTCAGGCACTCTTTAAGTGAGCGTGTATACTAAGCGAACTGAAAAACACCGCCAATACATACCTGTTAAGATGGAATGTTTATGGAAACCATTCAATCTGAAGTAGAAGGACTACCTACAACATGAATCTTCAAGTATCACGGAGACCAAAATATCGTGCCTATCTATATTTTATTTTGCAGTTTAGAGTTGTGGAGATGGTTGAATTTTATTTAAATCATGAGCCGATCAATGTCAGACCATCATTGAAAACCTGGAAGCACTGGACCGCCGTTTCGTCCTGGTATAGGACTTCCCGGTAGTGCACATTCACGACCCCGCGCATGGGACTCGGACCCAGAACCTTCGTTTTCGCGCGTGGACGCTTAACCTCTAGACCGCTGAGCCAGCATCCAACGGTGTTAATGTCTAACTTCAACCAATCAACGATGTCGCGCGACCATCTTCCATCGGCTTTTACTAAGAATATAAAGACATCTTAGTTTTTAATTTGCTGAAAAAAATGCTTGGTAGGTTTTCAACATTAGTGAGAGCTGGGTGTAGGACGATAATCAAGGCACTAGAGTCAATAATCTAGGTGGGTTATGGAAGCACCTAAGATTCTAGTCTAACTTTGCATTATACATATATCATCTGTGAAGTATGATACAAGCTAACTTAGTTCAGTTACATGGTCTCCTCAGAATTTATATAATGTGTATGATTTAAAAATGTGTGCAATTTAAATTAGCTATGCATCATTTCTTTGCATTCAAATATATATTTACAAGACCATGACTTATTTTCGGATATGAGCATACGATAATTACTTTTTTTGAGGAAGAGAACACTATCTGAAGTCATTTGCAGTTTAAACACTACAGCTTAAGGATGTAAAATAACAATCCTGGTGTTTTACATTCTAGGAGGCCATTCGTAATCACCAGTATAAGTATTTCGAGTTAGGTGGCTCTAATTAGGGTGGATAAAACATCCTTTTGAGTTATTCTGCTAAAATTATTTAACAAACCCATAATTACGAATAAGAGCGACATTGATTACAATGACACAATGACAGAAATCAGTTGTGAATTAACATAAACTCAGTATGATTTACGAATACAAATGTGATGTCTTCTTTGAGGCGTTGTGTTAGCTGAGATAAAATGTACGAAACTGGGTGGTGATCAAAATAAATCAAGGTATTGGACTGCTGATCTGAGTATGGTTCAATACATTAACGTTCTAAGGAATATTCTGTGTTCTGCATGCCTATCCGTTCATTAATGTCTTATCATTTAATAATATGTAGATCATAAAAAGTATGACAGTTAATTGTATGTAGATAGTAGGTACAATAACCGGACTAGCATTATGTAAAAAATGCGCAAGATATCGCACAATATTAAGGGTGTTAAATTACAAGTTACTACTACTGATAATAATTACTAGTGACATGTATATAAACCAATAAGAGATACTACTACACTACACTTGCATATCCTTTGATGAAAAATAAACAAACAACGAATTCACATTTATGCATATGATATGCAATAAAAATGCTTTTGATATATGTTATAAGTGCAGAGCGGAGTGAAAAGCACAGTGGATGATTTAAATCACTTACGAACGACTTTCCAATTTGAATATATGCACTGTTTCTGTATGACTAGCGGCAACAAGATATTGACTATTCATACTGAATGATAGAGAGCAGATAGATACACAGCTGAAAGGGAGAAATAACAGTTGAAATACATTTTGTTTTTTTCAACACTTAAATATCTTCAGGATACTTTCAAGAATGTAATTGAGTCAATCAAATCTTCAGAAGCCAGGAAAGTGTTGCAAATGCTTCAATCAATCAGCATTCTGTATAGAGATTCAAGAGAATTCTGAAAGAAACGATGCATAATGTTTCCATTATCCTGATTCGATAATTACCAGTTTTACTACCGATTTAAATGTGATTTCCAGAAACTTTCAGAAGCTTAAGATCCTATACATGAACTAGGCTTGGTAAAAAGGCTTTTTTACACTTAACGCATTTCGCCTTGTGTTCGGGATTGAAATGCAGAAGATTCTGGAGGTAAAGTCAAGCAACAAGTGTTCAAGTACAAGACCATATTGAATTGATTTATACAGAGGAAACTCTGTTGATGAAATTAGAATAATTGAAAAATTCACTCATATGCCACAAATATTGAATTTGCAATGTAAATAAATACATGTGATCCACAGTATTCAACTACATAGGTATCCTTAATTTACTCGAGTACCTTAGCTTATAGACAATACAATTAAAACAAATGAAGGTTGTCTTTAATCTTCACTCATCAGTCGAAGAAATAAATCAGAGTTCAATAAAAGATATTAAGAATTATATGGACATTTATATAGGGGTTACTAAAAAGGATTCTGAAGGACAGTGAATAAATGAGCAAATAGTGGAAATTCGTGATTTGCTAAAAAAAAGTATCGAAGTTAGGATCCTTTACTAAGACAGTGTTGTAACGGGTGTGACTGCAGGTTTTAGATACGCAGCGTTATTATCGATCGCGATCTGTGACAGTGACACGGAAAACACGTACGGACGACCTAGTGCCCTGATTGGCCCTGCCTCGCTGTCTGTCCTAGCCAGTTGAGTCAAGAACACAAGTCACAGCCTCTGGGTTATGAATCATTGTATTTCAAACATACTCTATTTATATACCAAGCAAACAAACCACATCGTACCATAAAATAGGAAACAACATTTGTACAATATTTAACAAGTGAAATAAACATCGACCAATAAGAAATGTACATTTAAGGTTCAAGGACACCGTTGAACTTAACATGGTAATTATTGGTCTCTTTTTCCGACTATCCTAACAGACAGAATGTTAAGTGTACACATTGCTCTAGAATAGAATCTGTTCAAAGTATAAACGAAGCAAAAAAGTTTAGAAAAAAATCCATCAAGTAATAAATTACCCGTGATAAGAAAAATGAAGTTTAAAGCGGAAAGGGTGAGTACATAATACCAAGGAGTCTCATACTAGAATGAAGTAGCTGTCCAGACCTCTTTGGCTTTTAATAATACTCCAACTGAGATTAGTTTATAGCGAATACTATCTACAAATAAAACCAATCACCACGAAACTTCTTCAAAGAAATCATTTTTGACTGACAATAAACTGAGCTTTGTGAAGAGATTTATAACGTTTGAAGTTGCTTACCGTAAAAGATTAACGTTAATTAGGAAACGATTGAACATTTGGCAGCACTAAATAGCTATTTCCTTTTGGTATGAGACCCCTTAACAGCAGGTATCAATGGCCTCCTCCCCATATGAGAGTGATACTGGAACTCCCAGGTTTTGTGTGTTGTGAACAATATCATCTTCCGTTAGTCAAACAAAATCCAAAATTAATGAATATTTTACTTACCGAGTAAGTCCACGACGAAATTCAATCACTTTTTCTCCTTGTGGAATAGAAAACACTCGTATTACAGTGCCTTTTTCTGATGCGGTCGCTAATAAATTAGCTCTCGCATTAAATGTAAGACATGCTAGTAGACCATCATGGGCAGCGATAGATGTAACATTCTAAAGTGCAAAAAACATTTAAAGCAAACAAGAGAATTGAGTCATTTAGAAATAACAAAAAAGACTATCTGCGAATTTGTACTTTGAACCAGTCTCCATAATGTGTACAATATTAAGTAATCACTGTATGCCACCTAGTGACTAATTCGGAGATAGATCCTTGAAATTCAAGTGAGAACACCCGTGACTAGTGGAGTTTGATTACGTCATCACGAGTGATACAGATATCATCCGTAATATTGGATGAGGAAGAATTTATAGCACAGTCACGTAAGCTGGGAATGTGAACAACTAGTAGCTCAACTTCCAAAGACCATTAGTTCGACTCCATGAATAAAACCACAGAAAAAGCTGGAAAAAAATATCTGAGAAAAGTATATGTTGGTTAGATTGATTGTCACCAGGAGATAAGGATTAGCGGTAAGCTTTCAGAACATACTCTTGTGCATTGATGAATGAAACACCTTAAAGAACAGTTGAATTGATCCTGAGTCACAACCATCTAGTTCACACTCGTTTATTTATAATTTGAATGGGACATAGAATCTAGGTCTCTATTATATCATGGGTAATGATGGAAAATTCAAACTATTGGATTTTGAAATGAAAGCTTATGTAGAGCGTTTTCACTCCGCAAAGTGAGATGGATATCAAACGATTTTAAGTACAATAAAACTATTATTTATTTATCAACAAACTGAAATGACATTAATTATTGATCAACTTAAGCTGTATTGATTCCATAGTCTGTCCAGTGGCAAACAATCAATTAATTTTCATAGGCAAGAAACAGTTTGAAGAGATCAAGTGACTGACATTACCATGAAATCCACGTGAATCATATGACCAAGAAAATAATACATGAGTTGATATATATATATATATATATATATATATATATATATATATATATTTGGCACCTATGTCAACCAACAAAGAGTATCAAGGTAGGTGGTGGTTACGAAAGTGGATATTTGACCAAGATCATGTTATTGAGTTAAGGGAATGAACAAATGAATCACATTTAATCGTGTTCAAAAATTTGGGCAGCGATAATCTTTTCAATGCAAATACACGTATTTAGTTTATGTTGATTCACTACTCATCTGCGATCAACGTACAGAAGGATCCAAATGATTATTGTGCTTATTTACCAGTCGAATGGATAATACAGAGCGATCAAAATCACAACAGGATATTTTTACTAATTGAAGGATATTCTATCTATAATAGATGTGGTCAATATAATTTTTTGGACAATTACAAAACTTGTCACCACTAGTATTTTGATGCAAAAATTTTAAATAATTTGTGAATATTAAAATAACAACACATTCAAACATGGCATGTCACCTCCTCAACACATCTATGTCGATTGAGAGGAGAGTGAATTTGTATCAAACAAGTTTAAACATATTACTGAAACCGTATACAACGAAACACAATTTCGGAAATAACAGTTACCTAATCATACGGATAAAATGTATTTCTCTTCAGTATGAATCAATAAGACTCGTGATTAGACAAGTCAACAAATAATAAGAAACAGTATGCTCTATATTATAGGTCAATAACTTAAAGAGTTTGCAAAATTTTTAGTTATATGTTCGACGTGTTTTGGTCTCTGAGCTTGATGTTTTCGTTGTGAAGCCTTCATTGTCCTACTGAAAAACATCATCACCATATAATTTACCAAAGACGAGTTAGACATAAGAAGGGTTCATTACATACTAATTATACATAAAATTGCTTCATTTCAGCTTCAACTTCACCCGTTGTTGTTGCAACACACATGATCAAAGCAAAAAAAGCATTACACAACTATCATTCACATCGTTCGGTAAAATATTTATATTGCTACATAAATACAATGTATTTTCCTTGTGCAGTAAATAACTTTCATTCAGCGAGTATAAAAAAGAAAAGCATATACCCAATAACTCATCTGTTTACTTATTTCATGTTATCAATTACTTATCGAAATGGTAAATATATATCTCATGTATTTAGTTAAGAGAAAAATTAACTAATTAGTCAACAACTTCACAAGGTACCTGAATATGAGCCACATATTAGGTGTGGGGAGTAATGATTGACTTAATCAAAGTAGGTGGGGCGGAATTCGAACCTTAGACTTAGCAATTGGAAGTTGGATATCTTAAACACTAAGCCATTATTTATTTTGATAATATTTCGGTCGACTAGGCGTAAATATTTACTCCATTCCATTAATAAAACTAATCAATATATCGACTATCTTTAGGACATACAATATAACTTTCATATTTTAATGAATGTGAAAGTATAAAGTAGACGCTAGGGCAATTTTTAAGTCAATGTTAATTTGATTGTTAGGATATAAAGAACAGATAATCGTGTGAATCGTTATTCCATAAACAATACGGACAGTTCATAGTTACTTTATAAAAAAGGTTTCCACTAATCAGGCTTTAGAAATATGTAATTAGTCTTGATTTGAACATCGCGTCGCATCACGAATAGTTGCAAGTTCGAAGTGTAAACCATCAAATGTCAATTCAGTAGTTTAAAAGTAACATGCTCGCTGAGAAGATTAAGTTATATCCCTGGGGTAATTGCGGATGTGGGCAATGCTGAGGAGTCTCAAACTAGAAAAAAACAATCATCAGGCGTTCCCTGGTTTCCTAACGGTTTCTCAGATGATAAAAACTATCTCTAAGGCTGAGTTAAGTGTATGACCGAAAAATGGGCGATTTGATAATCCTCGGAGTTTAAAATAAAAATATTAATAACTCCAACATACTTGGAAACTTAATGCATCGAAAATGAAAACAGTTCCAACACGATGAGAGCCAGGATAGGCTAAATAGCAATTGCTTTCATTGGCCGATAAAGCAATAACACCATTTCGGTTAGGTGGAGTTTCTTCAACTTTGTGCAATAATTGCATATCACGCATATTATGAATAAATATTCCATCTTCTACACAAACTACTAAACGCTGTGAAAGGATAAAATGCGAAAATGGAAACAAGAATATATTAACTAATGACCAGTAGGCAAAGCATATAAATACATACTCTTTTCAAATTCAGTGTTTAGCATATTCTATTTGTACAAATATTTTTGCTTTATTAAGTCATCACATTCAATATTCCGAGTCATATGATTTGTGATTTAAAGATTTTAAGAAGTATAAAAAGCATAAACTTTAAGTAAAAACATGCTTTCACCTATTAGAGGGATTTGATATGTAGTAAATAAACCCTGAAAATGAGATACTAGTCATGTGATTCACTTAACTCGGACATCCTTCAACATAGCGTACTAATAGGCTGTTCTGCGATCCGATATACAACTCATTGGGTTTTTCAGCCAGTAACACTGACTTGGTTCTAATTACAGGCCTGTAAGTGTAACAAACTTGTTTTCGACATACAAGGTAAAACGTAACATGACGACACTTTTGAGATAATACGTTTTCGGAAAAAAAATGAATAGAGTGGTGACTCTTTGGTAACTTACAGACTCAGCATTCGGCCATTTTATAAAGAACACAGAAGTGATATATTTTGTCAATTATGGAATACAAGGGTCCGACCAAAAGATATTGTAACCACTGTGTATATATGAAGATCCTGAATTCGATTTCACATAGGGCTATAGAGGTGAACTGATTAGTTGTCTATCACGGACGATTACGGCCGTGAAGTACATATATATTGGTTATCGATGGCCTTTTCTAACTGTAAACAGTTAATGACGATAAGAACCACATTCAAACTGAACCATTATCAACTGAATTCATAATCTTACACAAACCGGCTATTCCTATCCAGTAAAGCACATATGAGGAAATTAGTAACACTCACCTTAACAAAAAAACAAGTAATGGAAACAATTGTTCAATTTACCAAGCTACAATATACTAAGTGTTAATTATTTTAAAGCACAAAAGGTACATTTACATTTACAATTCAACTCATCTTTACAACATACCTGATGATTCATTTTAACAGCTAATATAGTCAAAGTATAACGATAGTGGCATATCAATGTGTTTATTCTGGAATGTGCAACTAGTAGCCTGCGCATATCGTTCTGTGAGACCAATGTAACTAAGCTTCGATTAAATAATCTTCCAACAATACACATAGGATCACCGGCTATTTGTGTAAATGAAAATTTTTTAGTAAGAAGCACAAATTACTAGAAGAAAATGTCTCAGTCACCTGATCACCAACAGTTGACAGGAGGCTGTATCCTGTTTTTGTCCCAACTTGAATAGATCTATGGTAAAAAAAAACACATATACACGTATATACATTGAAGTAAGTTTGATTGATAACAGCTATCACCTCTTGAGTGTAAATTAAGCAAGGTAGCCTTTCAAGTGGGCCACAGGTCCCATATCTTGTGATTATTCCATCGGTCCTAGTGGAATTCTCATTCTTTTCTAAGCTATGATTAAGTAATTTGTGACTAAGGATCATATGTCCCGTCATCTTACTATCAACTGACTTAAGTTTAAGGTCGAACGCAGAAGAAAAACCGGTGACTGATAAAGTTTAGCTGTTTAAGAAAATAGAGTAAAATTATACCGATAAACAAAAATATGTGAATACGTGAAATAAAAAGCAATTAAGACAACGTGAGACCAAACAGACCCAACTATCGCTTATTTAGTATTAGATAAATCCAACTTAACAAAGTTTGTATGCTAGAGTCTGAGCGAAACGCATAATGTATGTTAACAATGCTACTCAAATATTTAAACTCCGATGGGTGTTGATAAAGTTATAGAATTATATTCTGGATGATATATATCGTGGTTTCGTTTGCAGCTTTAAGTAGACAGTAGTTTCGATTTTGCGATATTTATTGAAATTAACCAGTATCCGGCTCAGTCTACTACTGGTAGTGACGGGATGTTACAACTCTAACAATAGATGATAAATAATGGAGAGAAAATGAATGAGGAACAGCCAAAAACGGTAGTTGTATGCGAATAGCATTGTGATTAATAATTATGATACAACAGAAAAAAATTACTTCAAATAATAGGATCATGTAATGTTAACTAGGAAGCGGTTTTGTGATGAGTCAAATATGATACAGTAGATGTAGAACTGGAAACATTGACTATTACACTTGTGCTGAGCTGTATAAAGTAAGGAAAGATAAAGATTGCCGAATTATGACGTCGAAACATGTTTGTTTTGTGACACTTATTATGTAAGTCAAAATAAATAAACCATTTCTATAACCGAATAGTCTCTAGAGGCTGATAAGCTAAACTTTTTCTATGATAAAGAACAAAATCACAGCAAACGACGTATCACAGGTCACGGCATTCGCTTACTTTGGGTTTGTTAGCAAGACAGAAACCAACATTTATTGAAAATTGTAGTGCTATGTTGTGTAAAAAGTTAAGATAAACATGCATTTGGTTTGGAAATGCTGGATGAATGCGTAAAACCCCCTCACTAGGCAATTTTTATTTTTTAAGTTGATTACTTGATAAAAACGCTAGTATTATAAGCAGAGGAAGTTTAAAGTCCCTATGAAGATTTAAAATTAAGAACTTTTGATATGTGAAATAAGAGCTTTCTGGATAATATTACAAATGAGAAAGTGCTAAGAAAGCTATGAGTAATTGTTAAGCACAAAACTAAGTAGGAGTATTTATCTAGAAAATAACTACTTGTCCATAGAGGGTATAATCTATTCTGTCACACTTGTCCTAAATAGTGAAGGTTTAAGTCGAGCAACTTACATCGAAATACGACTTCGTAACCAAGTAAAACCTCATATACTCAGCTTTACCTAGAATATTTCCTGTGAAAGCTAATGGTATCTTATGGTTACAGAATTGTTGTTATCACAGGAGATGACACCAGTATGTGTCGACGTTAGTTTCAGAAGTCCATGAAGATTTTAAACTTTCTATATAATGACTGAAAGTACAATACTAAAACTGTTTAAGCTAGACTAGATTCATGCCCCCAAATGCCCTGGTACGGCCGAGAGTGAGGAGAGTCCGCTCTCCCTCTCGAAATGCTCTCACATGGCCACGCGTATATAGCCTCTGCCAGGGAAGTCCTACTCACTGCCTTCTCGTGGCGGGGGTGTTGTTTACGAAAATGAGAGGACGAAAAGCGAATGTCCGGCGCTTTAACCGGATTCCAAACCAATGGTGCACATGGGCTCCAGTATCCTACAGGAACAAATGGCGTATGAACCAATCGTTAGTCACCGGCTAACATGGGAATGCATCTCCTGACGTTGCTCCACTGCCTTGTGGATCAGACCTTCAGGTCGAAGGCTCGGGGAGTGGCCCCCTAAGAAAACCATCTGCTTCGGTTTAGGCAACCGGGCAGTATCACAGCCCTCACACATATCGAATGAGATTTGTGTGGCGCATATGTATTTGGTGCCTCCTTGTACCAATATCTATGTGTTAAAATAAAAATAATAAGATTCATGAAGCGAATAACCGCCACATATCCGAATTATCGTTCTACAACATATATACCTGTATGCTGAACCGAAATGCTAAAACTACATGAATATTATATAGGATGATGTGGCTCTAAATAACCATGGGAATTTACGAAGTTGCATCTCACCCATATATGAATTGATTGACATTTACTAAAACTTGTTAGTCAAGTCCAAGTTTATGTACTTAACTTTTAAATGCAGTTTTTTAAGGGCTAGCTCGTTGAAAAGGTATAAGGAATACACTATGAACGTGGAGCTAGATATCAGTTCTATGACTTCCTTTGCATAGGCCTTGAGGTTATTAAAAACACGATTGAAGTTTTTCGCCAGTTAAGTCAATAAGTACTTATTCATAAATTCTTAATCCTATCTCTTCAACTCTAATGTGTTTTTGAGGATTTTATAAAGAAATCGAGGATGCATAAATTGATTTGTAACTACGTGAAAAAAACCGAGGGGAGATAAATGTATTGTATACGTACGTATAATCTTGGTTAAAATCGATAAACAAGATTGGGGAATTATCATCATGACGGTTACAAGCGACATTCATAATCTATTGTGAATCAAGGAAGATGATCAGCTGACAAAGAGAAGCCCGCCAAACAATTTAAACCGTTAACATAAAGCACAAGGTCAACTTACTGGATAATGTAACACAATAGAAATATCACTTAACCAGCTTCTATGTCCTTTCAGTATATTTTTACTCACACAACTGTTTAATATTCGCTACTATCAGTTATCCGCATTGTTTAAAAGTGAACCTTTCTTGTTTACTAAGTTATCTGTCTCCTATTCTTCCAAATCTCACATATGCGGCTTTTAGCACTCCTTCAGAACATAATTTATCTTCAGGTTAGACCTATACATACTTGCGTTTCTTCTAAAACTACAAAAGTAAGCTTCAGGACTAAGAATGCACCTGAAGATGCCACAGGTATTCGGAGTTTGACAACGCTTTGAGCAGTAACACCTAATGTGAGTCGTACCCACCAAGTGAGACCAAAAGACAGAAGTGAGGAGGTTCGAAGATATATTTAATAGGCTATCAATATATCGAGGATCGTCTGATCTAATCTGGCTAGCGATTGCAGGGGCTGTTGAGCATGGCGTTCCCACTCGTGATCTGGTGCGGATGCATGACCGAGTGCCTTCAGCTAGGTGAGTCCATTAAAACGAATGTGGCCAGCATCCAATGTCGAAAACTTACAGAGCTATTTATTTTGGGGATTTATTTACCGCTACACACATATAAACTGCTTTTCCGTAGATAAGGCATGAAATAAAGCAGGAATTTTCCCATAATTATGTTACACTATTTGACGGTCACATCACAACAAATCTACAAGATTTTGAGTGAATTTCACATCACTGTCCACAGGGACTCGTTGCATCATGACAATCAGCAATATGATGTTCGGCACTTAAGAAGGACATATTCCGGCTGTGAACAGAGCGATACATTTAACGTGGAATAGTTTGGGTTACGCTATGCCCATTAAGTGAATGGATGTTTCCGCGTTCACAATTCTTGACCTTCTCTTAGCGTTACACGGTTGAAAATGAACCTTCTCAGTAATTATATGACCTAACACTCCTCTGGAACATCTGAGTCACTAATGATGACGCAGGACGACGTCGCTCGCTCTACATGTGTTATCGATGGCATATTTTGGGAGGACTAAAAAAGCTCTAGCTCCTGTCCGGAGATTTTGTCCCTCTCAGAACTTATGACGTCACAACTCTCTATGTTAGTCGCTCCTCAAATCAAAGATATATTTTGTAGTTATCGGCATTCTGAAATCTGGCTTGTCTGGAGACACATGTTCATCTATACTTTGATGATGTATTCGCTTTGGCTAGCTAAATACGTAGAATGTTCTAACTCTCTGGTTAACATTCTTAGAAACGAGGAAAAGCCTGAAGCTAGACGACTTATTAGGGTTTTGAAGGGGGAATAGAAGGTAGTAACTTTGGTTGTTTGTCTTACTGATTAGATAAGAACAAACCTACAATTGGTTCCCAATCGTCTGCTATGATGGTTGTTCAGAGGTCCTCTTCTTTCAGTAATTGTGTGGACCACACATTTAGGTCGGCAGGCCACTTCAATTTCAACAATCCCGTACTGAGGTTTTCTTTGTAGCGCTCAATGATCCAGGAATTCAGAATAAATTGCTGACCGATATTTCTGGTATTCTCATATACGTATTTGCACAAAGTCATTGATGAATTTAGTACTTCAATGACAAATATAAGTGTGAAATTCAGTAACGTATACTTGAATGGTATTTACTGTGACAGGTAGGACAAAAACTACTATATGATTACTTTAAAAGTAAAGAACTAGGTTTTCCACATGTCAGAAGCAAAGTTATGCTCACAAAGAAAATATAATTGGAATGGTCCGAAGATTTTCAGGCACAAGCAGTCACTAAAATACAATGATCATGTCAATAAAAAATATACAAAATTACCTATTTGATGCAACACTTTTGCCTACAGTTTGGAAAATGCAGCTTCCTTACATTACGAGGAGAAGCTAGCTCTCTTTTCGCTTTCGAACTTGACGTGACCTCATTGATCTCTCACCAACAATCAAAAATATCCACCTTTTCGTTACCCTACTAAAATATTTACTCGCTTCCAAATATACGAACTGCGTCTTCACCTTGCTGGCAGACAAGTGTAACAAATATGACCATAGTCATTCCAAGGCTGAACCATGGTGCCACAGGTCTTGCTGTTTCTATCAACTGCTTTCTTCCTAGTCACTTCAGCTGCAACATATACACATTCATTTTCCTGTAAACATAGGGCTTGTGGATAGGTTACTGTTTCACTCGACTTTGCGTGCTAAACTGGTCAACGATAACGTGGTAATTTTAAGTCTTACAGATTTTGTCCTCGTATAGCGAACATTTGTAACAGCTTAGGTTGGTTGGTTAAGAGTTGACCCCAAACAACCAAGCATATGCCAAAACAGTACTGTTCAAGTATTCACTCACTTCCTTGTTTTGTATAAGCGTTATATTCCCTATTATCTTATATTGAATGTTGAGAGCCTTTGTTTGTCTGAACAGGTAATCCCACGCTCCACTGTTACCGCGCTGGGATCGAAATAAAGACCTATTCACTACTTCTCTGGTTTCTTCTATCAATAGCACGAGGGTTACTTTAAGGCACGAAATTGGTGAGCCCTTTTTGAACACAAATTTAACCTCGTTTCTGTTATTAACATTTTTTTTACTTAATCGTAAAAGTAGACCTGATTATCCGTAAACTAATTTGAGTATATAACTAGTTTATTCCGTATTATCTTAAGTTATTCGTGTTATAGTAACCACTTTTTGTGCTAACTTTATTGTTATATTTGTCACATACCTCATGTCAGACTCAATAGAAACCCATAATCTGGAGGATTTGTCACCAGTGGAGATAGACACTGTTATGACTACGAAATCCCGACTTCCAGAATTTGATCGTAGTGATCCTGAGTTGTGGTTTGCTCAACTAGAGCATTATTTCACGAGACACAATATCAAATCTGAAGGGATTCGCTATAGAGACTTGTGTTCTATCCTTCCTCCTTCAGTCGCCAAAGAAGTCCGTGACTTGATTTTGAGTCCACCATCACCACAACCATACACCATCTTAAGACGAGAGATAATGAACCGTTTATCATTATCAGATAGTCAAAGAATCCAAAGACTTTTTCAAGGTGAAACACTAGGTGATCGGTCGCCGTCACAGTTTTTACGTCACCTCCAAGTCTTAGTGGGTGATAACACAGTGGGTGAAGCAGTCCTAAAACAAGGATGGATACAAGCTCTCCCATGCTACATCCAACACTGTTTGGATGCACAGGATCCTGAAACCTCATTATCTCATTTAGCGCGTATAGCCGACAGAATAATGGAAAGAGGTCCTCCAACTGGATCAGGCATAATAAATCACACACAAAAAGTAGAATCAGCAAAAGACCCCGTAATAGAAGGACTCATTGCGAGTGTTAAGAGTCTCACTGAGGCTGTCACCAGAATGCAAATGGGTCATAGAAACAGGAGCAGGTCACCACAACGACCACGATCCAAGTCACAAAACAGGTCACAAATGTCCAGACAATCTGGGCAGTTTTGTTGGTACCACTGGAAGTTTGGTGTCAACTCAACCAAGTGCATGCAACCATGCGCCTGGCCTAAGCATAATTCTAAGTCAGCGGGAAACGAGTAACCCCTCCCCAGGTCGCGACGACTGAGGAGGGGCGCCTAAACAGTCGCTTGTTTTATGTTAGAGACAGAAACTCTGGCTTGAATTTCTTGGTGGATACTGGCCCTGCTCTTAGCATCATCCCTCAAAATAAAACTGAGATTAGTCGAGAAACATCATCAATTACACTTCAAGCTGCAAATAAAACTAAAATCGCGACATTTGGGCAGAAAACTTTAACCCTAGATTTGGGGTTCAGGAGGCAATTCCCTTGGGTTTTCACGGTAGCCCGCTTAGATCTGGCAATACTGGGGATGGACTTTCTAGAGAGATACGAATTTCTAGTTGACACCAAGAAACGGCGATTAACACTAAAAGAAACTTCGTATTACACAAAAGGCAAAGAAAGTCACATCAACTCTCTTAACTTGATTCAAACTCCTCCAGTAACAACAGCGAAATTCCAAGATATACTCGCGGAATTTCCAAACTTAACTAAACCAAACCCACAGCCTTCCAAAGACAAACTAAAAGTGAGTCACACTATCAAAACCGAAGGTGCACCGGTGTTTGCAAAACCCAGGAGACTAGCACCAGATAAGCTCAAAATCGCTAGGGCCGAGTTTGATTATATGCTACAACTGGGTATCATCCGTCCCTCTGATAGTCAATGGGCATCCCCTTTGCATATGGTCCCAAAGAAGAATGAAGGTGACTGGCGACCGTGTGGGGATTACAGAGCCCTAAACCGTCAAACCGTACCAGATAGGTACCCAATACCTCATATCCAAGATTTCACCAACGGTTTACAGGGTATGAAAATATTCACTAAAATTGATTTAGTCAGGGCATATCACAATATCCCAGTGGCTGATGAAGATATTCCCAAGACAGCTATTACTACACCCTTTGGCTTATTCGAGTTTGTACGCATGCCATTCGGCCTGAGAAATGCGGCACAGACATTTCAAAGATTCATAGATAACCTACTTCGAGATATGCCATTTGCGCAGGGGTATATAGACGACTTGTTAATTGCCAGCCCCGATTTGCAATCACACGAACAGCATGTACAAGCAGTGTTGAAAGGACTGGATGAACATGGAATAAACATACATCAAAGTAAGTGTGTTTTCGGTGTTCAAACTTTAGAATTTCTCGGTCACACAATAAGCCCAGAAGGGATTAAACCTATCAAAAAAGAAGTGGATACCATCAAACAATACCCCGTACCTAGTTCTCTAACACAACTGAGAAGTTTTCTAGGCCTAATTAACTTTTATCGCAGATTCATACCAGGTTGTGCACAATTAATGCAACCTTTGACATATTCACTTAAAGGAAAACCAAAAGAATTCAAACTGTCTTCTGACGCCATCGAAGCTATTAAACAGCTTAAAGAT